AGAACCAGCGGATCTCAGCAGCTTCTCCTCCCAGCTGGGTTGCAATATCTAGCTCGTTGTGGAAAAACTACATACAGGAGAATATTTAAGAAAATTCTAAAAAATAAGACAAAGCCAGGGAAAAGTAGCCCTGCCAGGTGTCACTGACGTGGCAAACGGGAGTGTGCTGTGTGAGGCCGGGAAGACCGAGCACGCACAAGCACAAGGAGAAAGTGGGGCGGGATGGCCGTCCAGGTCCTTGGCAGCATCCCCGGTCCTGCAGGACTAGCCGCAGGCCCCCTCAGAGCCAGCGCCACGGCACCAGCGGTCTGCTAGGGACGGCCAGGGGACGGAGTCTGGGCTGCCGAGTGTGTGGTCCCTGGCGCAGTCCCAGATGTAGCCGTGAGGCGCAGGTGGCCACTTAATGGGATATAAATTAATTACAATGAAACATGGCCAAACAGTTCCTCAGGGCACGAGCCACATCACGGTGTGCCTGATGCACTCAGCACCTTGCCAGCATTTCCAGAGGCTCCCCTGGCCTGGGGCCTGGCCCAGCGTGGCATGAGCCACCTATGGCCACACAGGAAGGGGCGGCCATGAAGGCAGGGCTGGACACGGACAGGAGCACGTAGGCAGGCTCGGGGCTCAGTCAGGGAAGCAGCAGGTGCACCTGGCCTCAGAACAGCTCCACTGCACTGTCCCCCAGACTAGAGACGCCTGAGTTGTCCAAGCACAGCCACTGCCCTGACTAATGCAGCAGGAGAAAGGTTATCCCCTACATGGTGACGGAACAAGAGCACGCACCTCAGAAAGGAAGAGACGGCTCACTCCTTCACTCTTTACCAATTCATGCACAAATTCACTGTGTTCCAACAAAAGTGCTGGGAGTCACCTGGACAACGGTGCTCATCACAGCAATGGTTAAAGACCAGCATTGAGTCCACTGACGTGCGGCCGGACACAGTAACCTACAGGGTACCACCCACGATCCTGCTCAGTAGACATTAGAGTCCAGTAAGTCAGGGGCGCCTGGCTGGCTCAGGTGGTTGAGTGTCTGACTCTTGATTTCGGCTCAGGTCATGATCTCAGGGTCGTGGGATTGAGCCTCACATCAGGCTCTGTGCTCAATGGGGAGTCTGCTTGAGATTCTTTCCCTCTCCTTCCCCCAGCTCATTCTCTCTCTCTCTCTCTCTCCTCTCTCTGTCTTAAATAAATAAATAAATAAAATCTTAGAATTCAGTCAACAAATAGTCATGGACATCAAGTACATACCAGTTCTATGAACCAGATATGAATGCAGTTTCTGCTCTCAAGGTAGTTACTTGCTGGTCAGGGAGAAAGATGTAGATGATATGATGGGTGGATGGACGGATGGACAGATGCTAGATATGAATGACTGACAGACAGCTATACAGACAGACGGACAACCCAGAGAAGGCCGTCCACACCAGTGATGCACAGAAGGAGCGGGGTGCCATCTGGATAGGAGGGTCAGGGAAGGAGCCTCTGAGGAGCCATGTGGGCAGCGTGAGCACGGTGAGGAGGTGGCCAGGACACTCAGGGAGAGGAAGGACAGGGGGTTGTGTCTGGGAGGAGCAAGCCGACGCAGAGAAATGGGAGGGCAGTCCCAGGAGGACCTGGCCACAGTCTGAAGTGCTGGGAAGGAGGGACATAACACGACCTGATCTCCACGTGAAGGATGGGCGTCGTTGCTGTGTGGACAGCACATTCCAGGAGGTGGGGAGTGGATGCCCTGAGCCCAGCCAGGGACCACGGTGGCCGTCTAAGTGACAGGCAGGGAGCCCCCTGCGGCCCCAGAGCTGCCCCTCCTCCCATGGCCCGCTCCTTCCAACCCTCGGGGCCCTGAACTGACCCTCTGGACCTGTTCAGCCAACAGCCCCGGGGGGAGGCAGGCAGGCGCCCGGCAAGTGGAGTGTGCAGAGTGTGCCTGAGTGCGGGAGGCTCACGGCCACAGGGAAGGCACCTGTCCCGGCTGACGGTGGGAGAGACAACATCTCAAATCCATCGATTCTGCACATTGGGATGAGCTCTGACAGCAGAGGTGGTTTGTGTTTGTGTGTGGGTTTAATCAACTGCACTGTTAGAGCCTCCCCCAGAACCCGGAGGTGGTGGGCCCTCCGGCCGGGACCTCCACTGCAGAAGCCCTGGGGCGCCCCCACGCCCACTGGAAGGGAAGCCCCCCAAGTCCACAGGTGCTGGGTTCCTTCCGAAGCTGGCAGAGGGAGGAGGAGAGAGGGACCCCACAGTGTGCAGAGAGCTTTGCCACGGCTCTGAAAAATGTTCTTCTCTGCCCCTGTCCTCCAGAAGTCTCACGATGCTTCTTCCTTCCCCCAGAATCTGCTCCGTGGACAACCCCACCCCATCCCCTGTTGTCCAGTTGGGGCTTTCTTTCAGCCAGTGGGTTAGGGTGACTCTCCCGGTGTCTGTATTCACCTGGAATAATAAGAGATCTCTTCTCTGAATAGCAGAGGCAAGCCCAGTCCCAGCCCGCCTTCTCCCTGTAACCGCGGTGAGATAGAGCCTCTTCTCCTCTCCCCTTGCAACACGCGGCCGCCAGAGGTCGCCGCGGCCACCAGGCCCCACGCCCGCCTGAGATGCAGCATCAGGAGAACCAGGAAGCCTTGCGGACCGAACCCAGACACTAAACACACCGTATGAGAGGAACTGAGAGAGGATGGGCAGGGGACAGAGTTGCAGGCTGCCCTCGCAGGGTGCACAGCGATGCTGGAGGGGTATTTGGGGGGAAGCAGGTGGAGTCTGAGACGCGCAGTCTCAGGAGGCAGGTAACCAGTGGAAATCCCACCGTCTCCCAGCTGTGGTTCTCTGGTGGCGGGACTGAGCCCGTGGGCCACGGGCTGCAGGGGGGTCCCCTGTGGGGCAGAGGGACGTGGTCCGGATTCCGACCCCAGATCTGGTCGAGCCTCATCCAGATTTATCCCGCGGTGACTTCCTGCCACCCCACCCTCGGTGTGCAGAGACAGCCCTGTGCCACACTCCTACAGACAGAGAACACACAGGTGCCTTGTAAGGATGAGAGATGCAGCTTAAGGCAGAAAAGAGACTCGCACAGCACTTGGTCGGGTCACTAAATTAAATAAAAATTTAAAAAGGAATGTTCCTTGCCGTGTTGCACCTTAAAATGAACTCTTCTCACGGCTCACACAAACCCGCGGGTTTTGAACACGTGCTTCACAAGTAAAATCATAGTAGGGGTTTTAAATCTTGGGAAACAAAAGAGCGAACATAGTAGGACATGCTGGGAGGCCTGGTGGGAGCGGGTGGTGCCAACCCCAAGGCCCACAGCTGTGCGAGCCAGCGCCGGCACCATGGACGACTGACCACTGCCGGAGGTCATCAGACCACCCCCGGGGACACCCTCCGCAGCTGCGCCCAGAGGTGGCAGCAGGGCCTCTCGTGCCAGAGATGGGGCTGGAGCAGGGGAACCCAGGTGAATCAGAGGACTGCACCCAGAGGACTGCGCCCAGGACACCCGGAGGAGCCATGGCCAGTCCTCTGCCCACAACAGAACATGGGAGACATGTCCTGATAGACATGTCTCATGTTCGGAATGAACCAGCAAGATCACTCTAGAGGGAAGCTCAGAACCCAAGCCCACTGTGTCTCACAGTCCCCCAACCCCACAGGGGCCCCTTCAGTCTCTGAAGTCTGCTGGGGTTCTGCTTAGTCTCCCAAACCCACCAGGGTCCCCTGGAATCCCCCTAAATAAACAAGAGGGGAAAGAGAACTCAGGTTATCAGAAACTACACAGAAAAAAGACATAAAAGTACTGTTACTGTCCTGGGGCACTGGCTGGCTCAGCAGGTCGAGCATCTGCCTTCGGCTCAGGTCATGATCCCACGGTCCTGGGATCGAGCCCCGCATCAGGCTCCCTGCTTAGTGGGGACTCTGCTTTTCCCTCTCCCACTCCCCCTGCTTGTGTTCCCTCTCTCGCTGTGACTCTCTTGAATAAATAAATAAAATCTTAAAAAAAAAAAAAGTACTATACCTGTCCTGACAGACAGACAGACACAGACACTTCCTGTGCTTTCATGGACCCAGCGCAGAACGCAACGGAGGAGGGAGGTGGAGAGGGGCTCAGGAAACACATGTGGCGCGTGTGCTGTGTGCGTGTGTTGTTTGTATTATGTGTGTCTGTTCTGTGGTGTGTGTTTAGTATGTGCTGTGTGTCTGTGTGTGTGCGGTGCCTCCGAGGGACAGCCGTGCAGCAAACCCTCAGCCCAGGTCCCGGCAGGTGGGCAGGTGGGGACTTGGGCCAGAGGGGACCTGGTATTTCCCAATCCCAGGCGCGTGAGTGACAGGCAGCGAGGGGAGGCAGCGTGAGGGGGGCAGGGGCTGGTGGGGGACCCCCGGCAGAACCCCTCCTGCTCTTCTTTGCCAAGACAGCGCGTGGGCCTCTGCTTCGCTGATCCACCAGCAGCTTTTCGGAGACATGCATCGGATCCTGAAGACCCGAGCCCACAGGCTGGGAAAGCTCTGGGCCTTCGAAACACAGAACCAAGTGCTTGAGAACGGTATCCCCGCAGCACCTGTCTCTCCTTGTGAGACCACCTGGTTTGTCGCGAGGAAGAAGGAGATCAGGGGGCTCCGCTGGAAACGGGTTTCTTTATTAAAGCATGTGGATTCTGCAAACCTCAGTAATAAATGCAGGGGTGAGAGCAAATCACCAACATAAACAGAGCTCCAGACGATGTATCAATAAATATATTATCTCACCTGAAGAGCGGGTATAAATACATGTTTCCACAGATTTCCAGAAGCTCGACGTGAACCTGCTCAAGCTCCCACAGAGAAAGCAGAGAAAGCTATGCTAAGAATAATCACAGAAACTCCTCGTAGGCTGTGGGAGGGCACTCTTCCTGGGCGCTGTTTTCACCTCTGCTCCAACATGAGCTCCCCTGGGGCGGGCAGAGATTGGAAACCAGCCCGCTCTCCTTCTCCCGTGCTCGCGCACCTGACCGGGCCTGGAACCCCCCATGTCATCCGGAGAAATTCTGAAAGATGTTGGCGGCCTGCACCCAGTTCTGGAAGCAGGCCAGACCCCGCTCGCGGACCTGCTTCCGCCCTTTGTCGGTGATGACCTCCCCGCTCGGTTTCACAACCACCAGCCTGGGGGTGACCGAGATATGGTACCTGGTCCTCAGCTCGCTGCAGGAGAGAAGAGGGAGGGGAGGGCCGGGTCAGCAGGGGGCCGGGCGGACTGCCACGTGCACGTCTGAGAGGACCAGGGCCTCCCTGGGCCGGCAGAGCCGGTGTGCCCTCCCCCACGCTGGCCTCCTGGGCACCTGCTCTCCCTGCTGTGGGCCTGTCCAAGCCAGCGCTGTCCCAGAGGAGCGTCCGCAGGGAGGGAGCGGCTCTGGACCTGAGCTGCCCAGACCAGCAGCTGCGTGGGACCCCAGAGCACCCGAAAGGTGCTGCAGGCCTGAGAGAACGAATTTTTCATCTCAGCTAATTTAAATTTAAGTAGCCACATACTGGACAGTGCAATTTTAAACCCACAGATCCCCCTCAATAAATTTATATCCCTCCTACATTCAAGAAGCAGAAAAACATCAGATCCACACAGTGGTCCAAGCGAAAACTCCATGGGTTCTAGACCAGTGTAAAGCCGTGTGAGACCTTCTGCCCAGCAAACTCAAGGACAGGCTGATCAACATGATGACACATTTCTTGGCTATGTTTCCTGTCAGATGCAACCCTGTGAGAGACCTTTTTACAAAATTATTTGCGTTCATTTAGGGGAAGGAGCGCCCACCTTCTTGGTTTCTCCCTGTAACTGTCCCCGGGATTACTGTCCTCAGGATAGGGCAGCGGATGAAAATCCCCCCCCCATTTCCAAGGCCAGCCTGCTCGGGTCTCCCATAAACAGTAACCTGATTTCCCTCATCTTCACCCTCAGGACTGTGGGTCTGCGTGGAAGGAAAAATGCACCTGAGACCTTCCTGTTACCACATTTCCTGGTGACACCTCCACCACAGCCTTCCTGCTGCTTTTGGGGAACCCAGATCAAACACACACGCATAAATCAAGCAGGAAAAAATATATTCCACCTCCACCCAACAAAGAGAGATGACCTTGTTTTCAAACATCTGTGAGACAGTGACAAAGCCAGCATGCTCTCAGCCACACAGGGATCTTAATACATTTCAAATAATCAGCGGCGCCTGGGGGGCTCAGTCGGTGAAGCGTCTGCCTTCGGCTCAGGTCATGATCTCGGGGTCCTGGGATCGAGCCCCACATCGGGCTTCCTGCTCAACAGGAAGCCTGCTTCTCCCTCTGCCTCTGCCCCTCCACCTGCTCATGCTCGCTCTCCCTCAAATAAATTAATAAATCTTTAAAAAATAAATAAATTTCAAATAATCAATAGCACACAGACCACTTAACCAGACCATAACATAATGGAAATTGGTAACCAATACGAAATAATTTTTGGAATGAGCTTAAAAACTAAATATCCATATGTTACCCATAAAACAGCAACTCAGACTACACCCTAATTAGAAGAGAACGATGCAGAATACACTCCAGATCCCCAGCTGCAGACACCACTAGACACAGGAAGTTGTGGTCTTAAACACACTTTTCTGAACAACAGGCCTCCCTGTAGACAAGCCATGGGTTTGATCCGAGAAGTGCGCACAGCGCCGATGAGCAGACACTGGGAAAGGCACACCGAACACAGAAGTCACGGACAGACAAACCGAACCTGGCCCCAGGGAAGACGCACAGAGCAGGGCCCTGACTGCCCGAGGGAGAAAGGAAGACACGGGAACATCGGGAGTCAGGCAGTGGCCAGTCCCGGCCCGCGGTGGACTCTGCCCTGCTCATGGACGCCAGTGCCCAAAGGACCCCCGCACTGGGCTGGCTGCCCCTCCAGCAGCTTCTAGAAGCCGGTCTGCATGGCGTCCCCTAGTTACTCACGTGAGGAGAGACGAACGTCTGAGAGAAACAAGTCAGCTATCATATAAACGTGATCGTTACCGAAACAGACACCAGGGCTCACAAACCCAAAGCACGGTCATGGAGAGATGCCAACCTGGGGACCAATGCGGGCCTCACTCATGAGCCTGCAGGTCTGGCAACTCGGGGGGGTGCAGGGTGTGACCCAGGTGACTGGGGGGAGACATCCTCCCCAGTGTTTTCAGAATCCTGCACAACCCCAGAAATTTGAAATGCCTAAGAAATTAGCTTTCCCCCAAAGCATAAAACAAACATGAAGAAAAGAGGAACCACCCAGTAGCCCTTGGTGTAACGGCTGCAGGAAATGGCGGTGGCCCGCGAGAGGCTCTGTCCGGCAGCCAGGGCAGATAGGTGCTGTCTGGGCCTCTGCTGTGGGCAGCATGGTGGGGCATGCAGTGCACACCATGTCGCCAATGGTCCTGCTGGGGCTTACACCCAAGGCCAGGCGGAGGCCCTAGGGGGTCCTGGAGGGTGATGAGGGGATCCCTTGGCGGAGCCCACACGCATTCCTGACTCTGCATCCACATCCCTGCCAGGCTCCCCGTGTGGTGGCTGCTGCTGGTCCAGGCCTCACCGTGGAGCAGCTCATCTGCAGGAGCGGTGCTCTAGGCATGGGGTCCCCAGACCAGCAGTAGCCGCCCCACCAGGGAGAGTCTCCTGCCCCTGCTGGTGGGGGTGGAGCCCCCAGTCCCCCAGGGCCGCCTGCATGCCCCTCCCTCCACTGTCCAGGGACCCCAAGGCGGGAAGCTGAGAACCACGCCCTTGACAGTCTGGGTGGTAGAACCTGCGGCTTGCTGCCCAGCATCCACAGCCCTGCACTTTCTGGCATGAACTAGCTGAGGGACTTGGGCAAGCTAGCCAACCTCCCTGTACCCCAGAGTCCTCACCTGTACGGTGGGAAAAACAGAACCCACCTTCTTTGGTTGCTGGGAGGATGAGATGGTGAACAGACACAACAGCACAGCCAAGGGGTGGGCACATAAATGCTCAAAAAACACTGGCTGTTACTGATGGGGAGCCCACCCCCCAAGTCCAGCTGGGCTAACTGTCCAATGCAGCACATCCACGCTGATGGGTACCCGGCAGACGCAGAACCCGTGAGACTCCGCAGAGCGCTTGGGTGTGTGCTAGGAAAGAGGAAGGCGTGAGGATGTGCAGCCTGAGACGCAGCAGCCCCTCTGCCACCTTGAGGGGAGACTGGATTTGCCACGTGGCCACGGGCTGCAGCCTGAGCACGGAGCACGCATGGCAGAAAGCGGAGGAAACTGTCCTCTCTGGCCTCCCCCGCTCCCTCGAGACCAGCTCCTGGCTGCAGGGCGTTTAAGTTAAGCCAATCAACAACCTTCGCAGTTTAAGCTTTGGGCCGTTGCTGTTGTTCTCATCCCTCGAAACATAAAATCAGCTCTGACACCGTCAGGGGGGCGCAAGGCAAGCCAGCCAGGCTTAGGGGAGTGAGGTGGAGTCTGGAGTAGACATTTGCTCCAGAATGTCTTCAGAGTCAGCTGTGTGGGCCCTCCAATCCCTGCCCAGGCAGCCTCTGCCTGGGGACAGCCGTCACCTTGGAGCCACCCAGCTGAGAGGCTCATAAGCATCTGCACCTGCTGCAGGCGCTGTGTCCCCAGAGAACAGGCTGTGCCTTGGAAAGGAGAGCCCTGTGGCTGTGCACATCCCGGGTGTGAGAACTCTGGGCGTTGTGGCTGTCTGGGGGGATCCGAGTTCCTCCCTGCCCTGGGCATGGGGCGCTGTGGCAATCCTGGATCCCTCCCTCCACCAAACACAGCGCGTCCTCCTTCCCGGCACAAGCCCTTCTGGGTTGCCATGGCAACTCTGGTTCGGGCCTCTTCCCATCCTGGCAACCGGCAGACGGTTGGCCCTGCCCCCACGCAAGATGCAGCCCGAAGACAGCAAGCAGGGAACCGTGTCTGCTCCAACCTTCAAGACTGCAGAGACGCTCCTCACACGGGGTGGCATCCCCAGGGGCACGGGGGAGGAGTCGGGGCTGCCAGGCGGGGAAGGGGGCCTCCAGGGTTTGGAGGTGGGAAAGATATGGGGTAGTCTGGAACACCAACTGCCCTGTCTGGCCGGAACACGGGTGCCAAGGAGGTAACAGGGGGTAAGTGTGGGCAGACAAGACATGGACTGAGCCCCGGAAAGCTGGGTTATCCCCGGTGGGACCAGATTGCCTTTGACGAGAGGAGGTGGGTTCCAGAACAAGAGTCCATCAGATGTGGACACTGAGGCGGGGGGGGGGGGTGGTTGAGAATGAGTGAGAACATGCCAATGGTCCAGGGCCTAAGGAAGGAAGTAGCAAAGAGGAGAAACCCAGACTCAGCAGAATCGGTGCCTGACAGGGATGTGCTGAGTCAGGAGGCCGGGGAGCTGGAACACAGGGCTGGGGAGAGGGCAGGGAGCACGGGCCTGTCGAGAAGCTCAGCCCCACCAAGTGGACAGCTCTAATGGAGCCACTCTCTACCCGAGAAACAAAGCCACGACCAGCTCTCTTCTCCATCCAACCCAAACCTGTCAGCCTGGAGTGTGAGGCATCCATCCGCCTGGCCCATGGTGGGGGCAGTCGGAGCAGACGGGACTGGAGGCGGGGAGGGTCCCAGAGGTTCCAGAGCCCAAGTGGGCCCCAGTGTTGTTAAGAAACAATCATAAAGTCCAAGAAAATCATGATGGAGTGGGTCCTGCATGTGACAGCAGGGGACAGGAATTCCTCCAGGCAGAAGCAGAAGCTGGTGCTTGGGCGCTGGGCCCATAACAAAGGGCAGGAAGATGGGCAGGACACCTCGTCCTCGGTGCTGTCCCCACACTCAGGCTGCTCACCCACCTGCACACAGGCACCAGCCTCAGGGACATCAGTAAGCAATGTGTGCCCAGGCAGAAGGGCTGTGGTCGCCCGCTAGCCATCCAGCCGCCAGCCATGCCCAGGGCACCCCCGTGGGGGCTCTCTGCTGAATTCCCCTCCTCATCCTGGGACTCAGTGGGTCAGCAGTCATCCAGCGGGTGGACCCTGAGGGAAGACAGCCCAGGTCCCTGACCATGACCGACCTAGCGGGGCCCAGGTGACTCCTGTCCTGGCCCCACCTCCCCAGGGCACCACGCAGAGCGACGAGTTCCACACACTTCCAGAAACTTCCCCAAAGGCCGCCCGCATGCATCCCACATCCCTCAGTGTTCCGTGCTGGTGGCTATTTCCATGTGGGTTCGTGAACTGATTCCCTGTATCCAGGCTGCAATGAGCAGAGCTTAGGGCGTAGCTCCAAATATTCCCACAGAATAGCCCATTTCCTACCATAGAAATTGCAAGGAGAGCTCATGAGGGCCCTTCTGGAGAGCAGAAGGGCAAGGAGCTAACCTAACGGAAGGAAAACGACGGCTGGCTTCTTCTGGAAACCAGGCTGGCCGCCCAGACCCTGCCCTGCTGCAATGGACCTCAAGGGCTGTGACCGCATCCCAGGAGAACCAGAAGGAGCTGGGCCAGGCCCTCCTGGCGTGAGGCCGAGCAGAGGCGCTGAGGCTCGCGGTCCCCTGAGACCCCTCGGAGCGGGAGAAGAAGAGAACCGCCAGGGTAGAGTCAGGTTCCAGAGCCCGGAGCACTGGCCTCCTCGGTGCCTCAGCGACACATCTGTGAAATGGGGCAACAACCACCACCGCAGCTCCAAACTCACGAAGCGGGGCAGCCCACATACGACACAGGAACACCATGACCCTGGGCAGTGAATGCCTCGCCTACATCACTGCATGAGACACCCCAGAGCTGGGCTCGGCCCAGACCCCAGCTCTGCCTGATTACCCACACGGTCACCCTGTCACTTTCAAAACTGAGTGTGTTTGTTCAAAAACTGCCCATAACCTGAGCGCTAAGTGAATCAGAGGCACTAGAGACCCCGATAATGAAGCCTTTGCCGAGCAAATCCCTGAGATTCATCCTCACTAAATTGCCTCTCAGGTTTATTTTCACTGTCACATAGACCAGTCCTCAGCAAGACTTTCCCGGAGTCCGGCGCCCACCTGGAAGGCCTGAGGCTCACCTCCTCAGCATCAGCCACCCCGTGTGTTAAGGCAGAGGGGAGAGGAGGGGAGGGAAGGTGTTATACCACTGAATAACCGCCCCCAGAGAAAAGCATGCCCCCAGAAAGCACACCCAGAAACTCATTCCACATCTAACAGGGGTGCTGGGGTAACACAGTTGTGAGGAGCAATGTACACCCAAGTCTGGAGCCTGTCACCACAGCACAGGCCCCAGAGGACAACCAGTGCCCTGCTCGCTCCAGCCGGCCAGCCCTGCTGATCCTCACCATGCTCCCTCCTGTCTGCGGGGGGATCTCAGTGCTCGCGCTGGTGGCTATTTCCATGTGCGTTGGTGATCCCTCCTTCCCACTTTCTCTGTCCTCCCTCCTCCCCCCCACCTCCTCCCTCCCCGCTGGGTCCTCCCCCCTCTTCCCTCCCACCTCCTCCCTCCCCCCTCCTCCTTCCCACCTCCTCCTTCCCACTTTCTCCGTCCTCCCTCCTCCCTCCCACCTTCTACGTCCTCCCTCCCACCTCCTTCCTCCCACTTCCTCCCTCCTCCTTCCCACCCCCTCCCTCCCACTTTCTCCATCCTCCCTCTTCCCTCCCACCTCCTCTCTCCTCCCCACCCCATCCTTCCTCCTCCCCACTCAGGTCCCCCCTCCTCACCCCTCCCACCTTCTCCACCCTCCCCTTGGTGGATTTTCGTGGCCTCTGTCCTTAACTCCTTTGGAGTCCAGGGGCCTAGTTCTTCCTACAGTCGGGAAATTCCAGTAGAACCGCACCCGGGCCAGCAAGGAGGGGCTTCCTCCAGCCTTGGAGTCCCTGCCGCCCTCCCCCACCCCGCACATGGCCCCCAGCCCCCTGACGGCAGCGCACGCAGGGTCCCCAGTTCCGACCCAAGCCTCCAGAGGCTCCCTCTCCCGCTTCCACACTCCTCCCCGAGCCCCTCCGCGGGTGGACTCCGCCACCGCAGCAGCCTCAGCAGCCGGGCTGGCTGGAAACCATAGACCCGCCGAGGCAAGGTTCGCCAAGCCCAGGGGCAGGTGGCAGCCCCGCTGGAGCCGCTGGGAGGCTGGAGCGGCTGGGAGGCTGGAGCCGCTGGGAGGCTGGAGCCGCTGGGAGGCTGGAGCCGGGAGCACGAGAGACGCGGGAGAGGCCCGCCCGGGGTCGGGGACCAGCTCCGCGCGGCAGCCCAGCCCCGTCCCACTCACTGCCGGAGGGGGTCGTGGAAGGGCAGCGCCAGCCAGGCGCCGTGCAGCTCGCGCATGAAGTCCAGCATTTCCCGTTCGCTGCCGTCGGCCGACACGAACACCACCTCGAAGGGCGCGGCGGACCGCGCCTCGGCCACCAGCTCGGCGTAGAAGCGGCAGAGCAGCGGCGCGAAGTCGCGGCTGGACGCGCACCGGCCCGCGGCGAAGTACAGCGCCACCACCTTGTTCTGCAGCGCGGCCTCGGCCTCCACCCACGCGCCGTCGCGGGTCAGCAGACGCCGGCCGCCCAGGACGTCCACCATGGCCGGGTGGAGGGGGGACACCTGCGGGGGGCGGCGGGGGGCGCGAGTGCAGACTCCCGCGTGGGACGGACACCCGAAGGGGCGGACACCTGCGGGGGCGGACACCTGTGCGGGACGGACACCTGCGGCCGGAAGACACCTGCGGGGGGCGGGGGGGCGGGGAATGAAGAGAGATGGTCACCTGCGGGCGGGCGGCAATGCCGCCCGGGACGTGCCTGGACCTGGGGCCCACCCGCTCTTCCGCCCGGGCCTCGGCCTGTCGCTGGGGCAGGGGCGTGCGCACTGGTGGGTGGAGGGACACTCACAAACACCTGAGACCCAGAAGCAGCGGCGTCTGCAGCGGCTCCCGCCTGCAGGAGGCCGAGCTGCGGGGCCCGCCCCGGCGCCTCCGCCCACCACGCCCTCCCGGGATCTCCGCCTGCTCTCTGCCGGGTCCCTCCTCACACAGCGCCCCCACCCGGCCCCGCAGTCGCCCCCTCCTGGAACCCGCCCCGCCCATCTCTGCTCCCCTCTCCCACTGTCCCCTCTGCGCCCCGACACGCCCCGCTCTCCCCACCCCGCGCTCCTGCCCCAAGCGTCCCGTCGACCAAGAGGTGACAGTATTAATGTTCCAGGCACTCTGGAGGCCCTGGGGATCCAGCCGCGAGCAAAGTAATTTCAGCTCCTGCCTGCGCAGATACGGGGAAGCGGCGGGTGAGACACTCGGGCGGGGCGCAGATTTAAGAGATTTAGCGCCAAAAAACTCAGTGATCAAGATAAGTCACATTTTACTGTATTATTTTAAAAACTTCAAAATCAATGCAGAAACTTCACGATGCACAAAACATCAAACATGTAAATAAGGGCGGGACCCCGGCCTGCCCTTGGACGCCGGCCTCTGTCCCCTCTGGCGGGCCCTCATCGTGAGGCGGGAATTCGCGGACCGCGGACGCACCGCGGACGCACCGCAGACGCACCGCAGACGCACCTGCCCCGCGGGTGGGGCCAGCTCGCCTGGGTGGACGCAGGGCCCCGCGGAGGTTCTGTCGGGCCCATGCTGTTCCCAGCACCGCGCTGCCAAAGCCTCGATTTGCTGTGGGATTGTAAGACCTGGGGAACTTATAGGCGACCGGGAGAAAAAAGTTGAGGCGGGGGCCCTTGCATGTGGAGGTCCGACTTTTGTCAAAACTCAGGCAGAACGGAATGCCCCTAAATTCTAAATGTCATCAAGACCATTTTGATCTGTTTGGCCTTTTTCCTTTTATCTCAACAGTGAGCAAAAGAGAGGACATTTCTTTTAGTGACACCCTCCCACAGGGGAAATTTCCAGCTATTTGTATAAATACTGTGCACCCCTGCGGGAGCCTTCCTGCAACCATGGTGAATTCTGGGCATTCCTCCAGGGAGGGGAGATCTGGAGGAACACGCTTCCTCCCCAGGGGACCCTCCCATGGCTGCTTTGAGTGTGTGTGTGTGTGTGTGTGTGCGTGTGTGTGTGTGTGTGTGTAGGGGACCTGCCCTCAAGAGCTCTTGGGGAAGCAAGAGACACCAGTCCAGTCCCGCTCATTCACCTGCTCCACCAGTCTTCAAGGGCCCTTCCTGTCACGTGAGCCTGTTCACTGACCCACTACCCCATCCCACTTGGCCACTCCTTAAGGTGGGAACGGGTTACAGGGGACTGAGAGGCAGAAGGAGGCCCAGCACCCTCCCCTGCCTCTGCTGGAACTGAGTCTCCTGCACACCTTCCTCCACCTAACACAGAACACATGGAGTCCCAGAACCAAGATTTGGTGCCACTAATCCAGGCTGGACGCTTCAGGTCAGTTCATACTAGACTTCCTTCCAGGCATCTGCTAATCAGCTTTACGTGCCCTAGATAATCACGGCCAAGCTGGACAGCGTTCCCACTCCTGATGCGTGTGATCAGCCACATGAGGGCCTTCTTGCCTCTGCCCTTCCCAACCCCAGCACCCTTTCCCTGCCCTCTGCCACCACGCTAAACAGTCTGTGACCTATATTCTGCCCTATCATCCAGTCCTCACCCGAACTGAAGCACAGTCTTTTCTACATGTCCTCCTGTATAATGATCAGACTCCCCTGAGGTTCCCCTGAGCCCTCTCTTGCCTAGGGTGGGTCCCCAGACCCTGTTCGCTGCCTGCTAAGCCAGTCCTTGAAATGATCACCCTGGCTTACCTTCAGCAACAATCCCCTGCCCTTGGGGTTTCCTCTTAGTGGCTTTCCATCCACCAACCCCACCCCACCCTTTCCTTTGGCCGTAAACCCCAACTCCGCCTGAGTTCAGAATTGAGCTCAGCTCTTTCTGAATAAAATCTGCCCTTAGCCTTTAACCAGCGTCCAGCTCTGCTTCTCCTGAACACCTTGATTGGCTCACAGCCAGGGCACTGACCACAGGGCAGAACGTTCCCAGAGCTAACACTGGCTGGCTGGCACACAGGTCTTCTAAGCCTCTCCCGGGAGACACACTACAGCATGACCACAGCTCTGCCTTTCTGTGGTCAGCATGCAAGCTCCCCATGCTTGTGAACGAGGCTGCTCCTCATCAGAGACAGTTATTTTTCTGAGCGGGAGTATTTTCGAAGTCCCAGCCATAGCATCTCTTCTCCACCCTGCCTTTGGATGCCACACAGTGGAGGGGCACACGAAGAAAACAGGATCCTAGGCCACTTGACATGAAACAGACTTTTTCTTTTCACTACAAGATGTACACGTGACAATGATCCATTTGTTTCTACCACTGCTTATGAATACACAAATATTCTCATGGAAACTTTTTCTGCTCTGATCAACACAGCAAACAAATTAGACATCCCGGTGTGCAAATGTCACCTCTGAATATTTCCTGACTTTAGCTATTCATGCTGGAGTTATTTCCTGTATTTAAATATTTGTTCCTAGGGAATGATATCGTGAGGGCTTCGTGACTCCCTTTCAAAATGGTGGTTGGCCCCTTGCAGGGAGAGGGTGCCCAAGTGACGAACAGAAGCCTGGCTTTCTCAGTGACCCACTGGGGCCACGGGCGAGTCACCCCACGGGCCTGGCTTCCCAGGGACAACTTCATGTTTAGAAGCAGTCAAAACAGATGTGGCTTCAGGCTGAGGAAGTGCTTCCGGGTCCCACCAGCGGCTTCCCCGGGATGCTTCAGATGATTCTAGAAGCACATGTTGCCCCAGCCGATGGTCTGAAGCACAGAGAGAAGGTGGCAGCAGGTGTCGGTCCTCTCTGGCTGCCAGAACAAAGCAGCACAGACAGGGCGGCTGAAACAGCAGGAACTTGTATCTCACAGCCCTGGAGGCTGGAAGTCTGAGATCGAGGTTCTGGGGAGCCCCCTCCTGGCTTGTGGGCCACCACCTTCTCCCTGTGTCCCCACATGGCGGAGAGCTCTCTTCCTCTTCTTATAAAGCTACATCTTATCAGCTCGGGACATTGTTCATGCATAATTACCTCCTAGAAACCCTATTTCCAGAGACAGTCCCATTGGGGGTTAGGGCTTCAGCATGTGGATTTGGGGGACAAGGCTCAGCCCACACACAGTGCTTTGGGGGAAGGCACAGCATGACACATCCCTGACCCCAAATGTTTAAGGGTCCCGTGTGCATGGGATCCCGGGCTCCAGTGCCCTCGGTACGAGGAGAAATCAGGTGTGTGGGGAAAGAACAGCCCTATGGGCGTCCGGGGGGGGGGGGGCAGTACAACCCAGGATGGGGCAATGGTACTGGCGGTGGACGTAGGGGGTCAACGACTGCAGAACAGCTTCTGTTTGCCAGGATTTAAAGAAACTTCATCACAGGAGACCAAAGCTCTGCGCTATCCACGATACAGTCTCACTTCCTCTCTTGAAACTCCCCCCCATTCCCGTATCCCACCAAAGTGTCCTCAGAAAGGTGCCCAGTGAGCGGGGCGGGGGGGAGCACGCCAGGCTGGTGGTGCCCGTGCCAAGGGCTGTGGAATCGCTGACGTCCACGCTCACACACGCGCCCCCATCTCTGCAAGGAGCAGCCTGGCTGACCCTGCAAGCAGGGTGTGAGGTCCGGCGGCCAGACCGCCCCTCCCCAGGGAGCGTGACGGTGTCTTCATTAGGCTGCCTCCCCCGGCTCCAAGCCACCAGAAGTGGCCTCAGGCTGCAGCTGATGGATCCGTGCATTATTTCTGCATTGGGGCATCTCCCCGTGGCTCTCCATGGCTCCCAAGCAGGGCCAGCCACAGCAGCCCAGAGGCCCAGCACAAAATGAAAATTCGGGGCTGGTGGAGGTGCTACAGTATACAAGCTTTCCCCTTTTTTCCATGGCTCTCTCTTGGCCTGCATGGTGTCTTGTTGGCTGCTGAACGTCCCGTTGTGTTGGGCACAGGGTGAACGCCTACCTTCACCCCGGCCCGGGGTCCTACCCTGAGAGTCAGCCAGTGAGCAGCCCCACTGCTGCTGGGTTCCTGTCCCACCAGCTGCTCCCCCCGCACTGTGTCCACCCTGAGACACAGCCAATCTCACACATCCCAACACCCAGGGCGTGGGGACAGGAGGCCCATCAGAGCTGGACACTAGGGACACCGAGAGAGGAGGATGGAGCGGTCTGGAACCTGTCCCCGGGAGGCAGCAGGCGGTGGAAGGTGGGAGCATCCATGAGCCAAGGGCCCATCAGACTTCACGTACCAAACACAGGTTCAAAGATGAAATTATGAAGAATTTCAAAATGGTGACCACAGAGCACGGAGCCCCAAGCTCGAGGTGGGGCCCCCGAGATTGCAGGAGTCCACACCCACGAAACGGCCTCACTCCCCACTCAGTAACAACCCTATTTCCAAATAATTCTCAAGTTCTGGAGGTCAGGATGCCAACGTATCTTTGTTGAAGGGACACAATTCAACTCAAAATGGAAGCGTTGAAGGACAGTTACTTCAAGAGCAGGATGGGGGAAGCTTTGTAGGAGGGCAGGCCCAGGAACGGGGTGGTGGCTGATGGGCTCGGCTGGGGCGGGGAGAGGGGACAGCAAGCATCTCCGTTGGCT